GGTTCTTTTTGAAAATCTGTCTACAATGACCAGTACACAGTTGTAATTGTTAATTAATGATGGTGGAAGACCAGTAACAAAATCCATGTTAATAACTTCCCATGCGTACGTTGGTTCTTCTATTCTTTGAAGTAAACCAAACCTTTTTCCCGTGGCTTTATTTGCTTTTTGGCATCTTTCACAAGTCTTCACATATTCTTCTACGTCTTGTCTCCAATTTGGCCACCAAGCTGTGCTTTTGATTCTGTCTATTGTCCGGTCTTCTGAGAGGTGCCCTGACATAAACTCATCATGGCACACGTGCAATGTTTGTTGAATGTGTTCAGCATTTATTATTACGAGATTTGCAGTATGCTTTTCTCTAAAATATAGTAGGTCAGATTCAAGTGAGATTTTTCCTTAAGCTAGTCCATCTTTCCAAGGTTGCTCGAGTGTGCTTGACAGGCTCAGATCAGTATTCTGCGCAGACAATAATCTGGTGAGTTTAGCTGTGTTACTATTCTTTTGATAGCTAGTCTTTACTTCATCAAAAAATTCTTCAGACAATTCACATAAGCTGATTCCCATTACAGGAATGTCTCTCTCCATCTCTTCAGGTTCCCATGCTGGATTACTGGAATCATTTGGTAATGCCATTCTACTTAGTCCATCAGCGTTATTGTGGAATTTTCCTGGTCTATGAGTAATTGTCATGAATGGTTTATACTCTTGTATTGCCATCATCCATCTCAACATGTGTCTGCTTGGAGATTTGAGATTTGTCAGAGATCTTACTCCTGTACAATCTGTTATTACTTCAAAGTAGCTGCTGTCAAGGTAGTAGTGTAATTTTTCTAATGCCCAAACTAGTGCTAAAGCTTCGAGCTGGGGTGAAGAATATCTACTTTCAGTGTCTGTCAATTTTCTGGATATAAAAACAATAGGGCCTTCTTTTGGTTTCCCATCAATTATTTGTGTTTGATGGAGTGCTGCTCCTAAACCCTCAATTGATGCATCAACATAGAGTTTAAAAGGTTTCTCAAAGTCAGGGTGAAACAAAATTGGCGCTGTTGTAAGTATTTGTTCTATTTTATTTACTGCATCAATTCTTTCTTTAGTCATTTCAAATACTACGCCTTTAGCATATAGTTTGTAGAGACTACGAGTAATGATCCCAAAGTTTGGAATGTGGGCTCTGTAGTAGCTTGTAAATCCTAAGAATGAGCTTAATTCTTGCTTGTCTTTAGGGCAAGGTTTTTGTAGTACTGCTGCTACAGAGTTCTGGTCCACTGCTACCCATAGTCCTGACACACGGTGGCCTAGAGCTTTGCATTCCTCAAAACCAAAGTGACATTTCTTTAACGATATTGTCATACCCATGGCTTTGGATCTTAGCAATACTTTCTCCATTGCTTCTAGATGCTCTTCCCATGTGGTATGAAAAATTATGATGTCATCAATGTAGACTTTGAGCCATCCTTCTCTTAATTCTTTTGAAAACTCTGTATCCATCATTCTTTGAAAGAAAGCTGGAGCATTTTTTATTCCAAAAGGCATCCTTATATATTCAAAGATTCCTAAATGACAAATAATTCTGAGGTATTTCCTGCTACATATTTCTACGATGTTCTGATGGAATCCTTTCATTATATCCATGAGAGTAATATATTTTGCATTAAAAAGGTTAGTCAAGGATTGGTCTATTCTTGGTAAGGGATATCTATCAGGCTTGGTGTATTGATTAAGAGCACGAAAGTCTCCACAAAGTCTAGATTTATCATTATGCCATGCTATCAGAACAGGCGAAGTTATATCAACTTCTTCATCACTACCTACTTTTCGTATTACGCCCATCTTAAGTAGTTCTTCAATGTGTTTTTCTATTTCTTTTCTACTCCTTGGGCTAGCAGGGTATGCACCTTTTCTCAAAATAGGCGGGTAAGGTTTATCTATTGTGAGTTATATTTTTGCTGGATGGTTCTTAATAACTCCTAGAGGTTGCTCTCCCAATCCAAACTGATCCTTGTATTTAATTACCATCTGGATTATATCTTCTTTCTGACTATAGGTAAGATTGGGTCCAAACTCAGCTTCCAATATTTTTTCTCGAAGTTGATGTATGTCTTCATTTGTTGGAGACTCCATAGTATTGTCAGGTTTAATTGATAAAATTTCTTTGTGTTGCATTAAAGCAAATTTAATACTCTTGTTATTATTGCCAATAGTAAAATATCTTTCTTTACTATGAAATATATCAAATCCATATTGGCTCAAGTTTTCTGCGCCCAATATGAAGTACTTGTTGTTTGCATTTTCCATTACTACGAATTCAGCATTTATTCTAATTGACTGTTTGACATGTGGAAATATTACTGGTAAGCTTATGACGCCTAGAGCATGAAGTTTACTACCAACTCCGGAGAACTTCACATGACTACTGGGCATGATTCTTTCTTGCCAGTCTGGTATAATTTCAGATAAGAAATGTTTTCCCACAATTGAGCATGATGCTCCGCTGTCCAGAAGTATTGGTACTTTACAATTATTTACTAATGCTCGAGCCATTGCATGATGTCCTAGTGTATGTGCCATTCCATCTGCTGGTTTGGATTTCAGTAATCTTGCATCAATTGTATTCTCCATCTGCATGTCATCTTGCCATGAGTGAGGTACATCTGCTTCCGCTTGCAATATATTGATGCTTTTCTCATTATTTTCATGAGTATCAATCATGCAGACATTTTGTTGATGTTGATTTGGAGGATTTTCTCCTTCACTGTCTGAACTTGAATCCCCTGAAAGTTGTCCTCCTTGAAAGTCAAACTCGTCATTCATATTATCACTCTCTTCCGTGTCTTCTTCGATCACATTTATTTTTTTATCTTTACATCCTCTCCATTGATGTTTTGGATCTTTACTTCCACAGTTTGGGCATGCTCTGGAAGGTTTCCTTTCTGATGTGCTTGGTTGGACTCTTGTACTAGAGGGACCTTGTAATTTATCATCTTTGAAGGTGGCTCTGTTTTCAATAAAAGGTCTCCTTGGTCTATTCAAATATCTTTTCTTTGTAATGATGGTTGTATTTTCGAAAATATCTTTGAACACCATTAGAAACATGTCCCACTCATATGGTGTAGAGAGTTGACTCTTGATTGCATTTCTAGCATCACCATCAACTTTATTTAGAATTTTATTGACTATTCTGTCTTCAGAAGAATCTGGATCAAAAGCGGAGATTCTCTTCTTTTGCTTCAAAGACCAAGCTGTGGGATCTGTGTGTGTATTGGCATCAAATTTGTCTTTCATAAATAACTCTTCCATGTTATTCTTCCAAACATTATTGCCAAACCTTTTATGAATCTCTTCTTTCCACTCATTCCACGTCATTGACCCTCTAGTTTTACGTTTATCCATGTACCATTGCGCTGCTGTGCCCGTAAAGGCTGTTGCTAAATGGCTTACAACAACAAGAGGGTCCATTTTCAGGGTGATAATTAAAACATCACACCAGTCAATGTAATCATTATGATTATATTCACCGTCTCCGCTGAATTTTTTCCAATCTTTGCCTGTTGGCCAGAGTTTAGTCAAAGCTTTAGTCACATTATCTTCCCTAGCGGATTCTGTTATACCTGTTTGAACAGTATCTTCTCTCATAAATGACCTTTCACAAGGTGGGATTGTTTCTTCTCTCATAATTGTTCTTTCACGAATTGCTGGGCTGTGAAAGTCTCTGTGAGTTGGTACAGGTTCTACATAACTCACTGATGTGAATGTCTATAGGTTATACTTGGATTTATCTGGTTTATTGGTGTAGGACCATTATTGTTGTTATTCTGTATGCCGGGTTTAAGTTCTTGAATGATTGACAATCTTGCTGTATTAGCATTGTCATCCATCTGTAACAGTTGTTGTTGTATTTCAACATTCTTTTCCAGTATCTTTTGATTTAAAATTACTTGTTGTTTCAACATTTGTTCTGTAAAAGACTTCATTTGTATGTCTTGTTGTTTCAATAATTCTTTTGTTAATTGTTCGTGATTGTTTTTTATATTCTCTTGTAATGAGTGGTAAGATTTCATCATACTGCTCTCAAATTGTTGCTGTTGTTCATTTAAATTCTCACGAATTTTTGTTATATTTTTATCTTCTTTAATTTCACCAATTGTAGAACTGACTTGATTTTCATGTTTCTCAAATTTGTTAAGTAATTCCTCAATTTTGTTATAAGGATCTTTGATTGGTAGCTTGAGTTGTTTATCCAATTTCACTTCTATTTGCTTAATTGCATTTTTCATTTCTCCAAGATCACCTATTACTATGTCACTAGTCTCTTGAATGTTTTGTTTCTCTCGAGATATTTTATTGATTGTCTCATGCACACTCTTATCAAGACTGCTGATTTTGGAAGTCATCCTTTTCTCAGTCTCAGATATCCTTGAGGCAATTTGATTAGCTAAGTTTGTAATCTGTTTAACCATATTTTTCTGAGATGCTGATAGATTTGCCTCTTCCAACGTGGTATTGAGTTTCTCTTGAATCTGTAATACTAAGGCTTGAGTTTTGTTCAGGCTATACATTGGCGTGATTTCTACATTGTGTATCTCAGTTTCTCCTGGTTTGGCATGTTGGCTTGTATTAGAAGTGGATGCACTTGCTTCTTTCATTTCAGAACTAGGTATGTGTTCTTTCTCTTTTCCTTTACCTTTATCTTTTATCTCAGCTTGAGGGTCTTTTTTATTTTCAAGAATCATTTTCTTAATTTCTTGAATTTCAGAAAATTTTTCTTTTAATTCTGTGGATTTTACTTTAACATCTTCATAAGCAGTTTGATGTTGTTCTTGGTTCTTGAATTCATAACTTAGTGATTTAATTTCACTAAGTTCTTCTTTCAATTCTAAGAAATTTTTCATAACATCATCATAGAATGTTTTTTGTACTTGGCAATTCATTTTAAATTCTTTAACTCTCACTTGCTCACTTTGCTCACATTGATTCTTTAGGAGAATCAGATTTGGATTCAAGTGCTCAACTTTTTCATAGATTGCATGTGTTTTTCTTCGTATAAGGTCATCTAAATCCATATAAGTGTTTGAGAGTGAAACAGAGGAAGAAATAGATTTTTTTTGATTTGGTTGTGAGCCTAAATACGACTGGTTGAATAGTCCTTGATTGACTACTTGGTCTAGCTGATCCTCTTCTGACTTGAGAGACTTAAGAGAAGGGGATAGCAGATTTGGAGAATCATCTAGAGGTGGGCCAGTAAAGGGAGTTTCAGCATAGAGAACTGAAGGATGATGATGGAATGAAGATGTGGGAGGAGGAAGAATACTTACTGTTCTTTCTCCTTCCCCTTGTCTTTCTTGTCTGACTCTCTCTTCTCGTCTTGCTTCATACGCTTCACCATCAGCATCATATCCAAGAGGTTGGATGAGGTCTCTGCTAACTCCTCGATTTCTTCTTGGCGAGCTCTCTTGCGACATTGACTCGAGGGACCCGCTTCTGGTCTTGGCTGCTCGTACTCCATCATGGTCTGAGGGTTGATGCAATAGGGGTTGTAGCCCGCTATCTCTTCTACCTTCTGACAATAGCGCCTGCCGCCCAGAAAGTCCTCCAACTCCTTGTGAGTTTCTTTCGCTACACCTAAAACTTGCCTGAAGTTCGGGTTGTTCCCCGCGACTCTCGCTTCGTCTAGGTTTCGTCTGAGGTTGGCGATTGCTTGGCGAAGCCTCGCCTCCTCTGCGTCCCTTGTCTGCTGGTAAGACAGTACAGGAGGAGGAGGTGGAGGCATGTTGGGGTTGCTGGTACTGGGAGTAGGTTGGCGTGGTTGATGAGCAGGGGACTGATGAGGAGGGTAATTTGGCTGGGGTTGATGGTGTTGGGAAGGGGCAGGAGGATGCTGGGCCACTGGAGCTGGGAAGTGGGCCGGGTAAGTCGGTTGGTAATAGTAACCGGCCTGTTGTTGCTGAGTCTTCAGTCGATAATGAGAGGATTTTTTTATTAATATCCTTTTCTTTTGCAAAATTCTCGACTAGTTTAGGATTTGGCTTACCTGATGCGGGTAGTGGCTCGAATAGCTCCCCCACTGGTGTCCGCCGTGTTGTCCGTGGTACGGGTTCAATTGATTGTCTCGGTTTTGTTGACCCGCGTGTACTGGTGGAGCTTGTCCTGCTTGCTGGTTGCGAGTTTCTAGCAGACATGATGGGTAATTATACAGGAATTTGTGAAAAGGGAGATTTAAATTAAAGTCAATTGATAATTCGATTTGTAGAAATTTCTAATCAAAGGAAGTTGATAACTTACGATCCGCGTGCGGTTCTAGATCTTGGTGATTTTCTTGGGCAGCGTGGCCTTGACTGTTTGCGTGATCTAGAACGGTTGTTGATGAAGAGAAAGAAAAAAAAAACTTAAATTTGAGACTAAATGAACAAAACGTATAATTGACAGTAACCTGAAACTTACGTTGTTGATGATGATACCCTTGAGCTGGAACGTTTCCTGGTTCTGGTACCACAATTGTTTGATACAATTTGAGGAATTATTTATCGTAAAAATAAATTTATTAGTACTTGTTTAATTGTAATATTTGAAGAATCACAATGTTCGATAATTGGAGTAGCTTACGCTGGTATTGCGGTCCTTGCCCTTGGTTCGGTACACCAGTATTCACGTTTTGGTTGCCTAGATGAGAAAAAAAAATCGATTCGATGAATGTGATGTTTTTTTTTGTATATATATATATATTAGTAAGACAGCTCTCAATCCCGAATAATGACAGTAAGAATATCAATCGATATGTATAACAAGCACTTCCTTTGTTGATTAGTGATTAGGTTTTCTGGTGGAGGTCCTTCTGCTCGAATTGGTTCTCTTGCAGTACCGTCCGATCCGGGAGAATCAACTTCAAGAACTAATGGATTGGCGGCAGGGGTGGTTACGGTCGACTCAATGACGATTGGTTCGTGCGAGGTGTTTCCGTAGGCGTCTTCAAACTCCAAGACAGAACCGTCGTAGTTCGGTTGATCAGGTAAGGCTGGAGTGGATTGGTTTGTGCGACTAACTTCAGCTGGTTGTTGTTGTTGAGGAGTGCCGTGATTGGCGAGGTCGAGCGAATTGAATAGGTGTGGGAAAGACACTAAATGGAATCAATACAAAACGAAATAAAGATAGGGTGGTTGGAAAAGACAAAACAAGGCAAGAATATGTATTAGTATTCAATTTGACTTGATCTTGGATTAGGATAAGGGGACAGTGTAGTTTGATTACTTTTGATTTTATAGACTACTTTAATAAGGTAGAAGAGTTTGTTGAAGTTGTTTGATTTGTTAGAGTAAGAATAACAGGTCGCTTGATTTTGAAAGAGACTTCCTGAGGAACGAAGCAAATCGCGATCGACGTTCTTCTTATACGAAAGAAGTCGTTGATCGGTTCCGGTTCTAATGACGTTTTCGAGAAGGATCACTATGTAGTGATGTCAGTAAGTATACTCTCAAAAGATAAATTAAAGAGTATGTATTAGTTTTTCTCTGGCTTACTTGTGTCTCTTGTTTGTCTAATGTGATTATCACCACGAAAGAACTTCGCTCGGTGATTCGTTCGCGGTGATAAATCGGAGTAGAACTGTCCTTTCTTGGGATGGAATTTTGGTCAGTGTGGTTGTTCTTGAAATCAATTGATTTGAATCGACGTAGATGAAATATTATTGTGGCTTTCCTAAATTCGAAAGCAGTACTAACCTCTTCTCTCTTGAAGCTCTGTTCGTTGTTTGGTCCGATTGGCGAAATTTCGGAATTTTGACTTTTGATTCAAGTTCCCTGCTGTTTCTGGTGAGTTTTTGAGTTTCTAATCGTTCGTCCACTGCGTTCTCCTAGATCTGAATGATAGTCTTGTTGGTGTCGATTTTGTTTAATGAGTAGTTGTGGAAGGTGCTTCTCCTTTGAAACTTGCGTAAGGGTCTTTGGATTTTCGAAATTCAGCTTCTGTAATGTAATAATACCCGACTCGTCGGACTCTTCTTGCTGTAATCCGGGCTTTTTACTGTCCTCAAATTTAAGAAGAATACTCGAAATAGCTATTTTCAGTGTACTACTCAAATTGGGGAATACACCACAAACAAAACAAAAAATTGTAAATAAAAAGTTTTGTTTGAGTGTGTTATGAATTAAGGAAAAGTGGTTGTGGTCAATCACATGCACTCCTACAGTTGTATATTTCTTATTTCTTGTCTAGGGGTGTGAAATCTCACACTTTTGGTTGAAGGTTGAGGTTGAGTTTCAACACGATGAGGCCCCCAAATGTGTGGGTTGGGTACTCTTTGAGAGTGCTCAATGCTCACTAAAGGTGTGTCAAGATGGTTTGAAACCTTAAATAATTATATGTATATTTCAATATAATGTAATTACAATAAGATTATAAGAAAAGAAAGGGGAGGAAGAATAGAACTGGCCTGTTTGGGTAAATCCAGACAGGCTACAGTTAATTGACTCCTTAAAAGGAGGTTTGAAATATAAATATGAGAAGGCTGGATCCAAAGCCCTCCTTTAATCTTTTAAGGTAATAGATTAAAGAGTGGTGTGTAGGTCACTAGCCTGGTTGTTTATAGTCACCAACTGGTAGTTATTCAGAAGGTCACTAACCTGCAGTTGTTCAAAAGGTCACTAACCTGAGAGTTAATAAAGGTTACTAACCTGCAGTTGTTCAAAAGGTGACCAACCTGGAGTTCTTTGGGAGGTCACTAACCTGAAGTATTCTACTTAGGGAAAGTAGAGGATCCAAGGGATGAAGAGAAGAATTACTTTATCTTTTAGGCAGGAAGCTGCTTTAAAGAGTTGAAGTGAATCACTAGTCTTATTATTATAAGACTTTTGATTATGTACTTCAATTGAACTTTAAAGGGTTCTTTAAAAGATGTGTGTAATAAATTGCTTGAGGGAAAATCCTTGAAGGCTGAGAGAGGAGGGGTTTACACCAGGGGGTAAGTGGCACGTTCCAAAACATGGGAATGTAGCGTTACAGAGACGGTACGACATTTGAATTGTTTTGGAACGTGCCAGGAAAGTGTCCAGGTTTCAGGTTTCAGTCCTCGTTTCCCAGACGGAAAAGTCACAGGACATGAAACAGTCTCGAACCTGTTCCAAAGAGCGTTGCAGCAACGCTATGAACGGTCCCCGGAACAGTCCATTGGAAGCTGTGTCAGTTCCGTTCTTTTGAAGACCGTAACTGTACCCGGTGCTCTCGCGTTGCTGGAACGTATCGATGCCAGCACCCGCAGAACGGATGGGATCCATTTACCGCTTTCGCGCATTGGGCGAGAGCGATGAATTTGAGAATTTGGCGATTGTGTGTTCAGATAGTTAGACACACAATCAAAACAAATTGCACGTTCTGCGTGAAATGGAGTGCGAGAATGATTACAACGGTCAATTGGACTTGACTTTGTTTGCACAAGAAAGGTAGTTTCCGATTGGTAATGGGACCTTCAGAAGTTAAAAACGTTATCGAAACAAATGACGTGTAGAATGAACTGCGATATGTATTACAACGGGGACTTTATCTCAGGTTCGCCTTCACTGATCCATATCTTTAACGCCTCTGGGGTGATGATATGTATATCATTGGAGGTGGCAGTTTTGATTTGTTCAAAGCTCTGCGCTCCAGTAAAAAGGACGGTGTCGTACTGTATAACCCATCTGTAGAAGCTACAGAGAGATGGTCATGAGTTGCGATCATCAGTCATCATTTGGAAATCATAAACTTACGACTTTTGTTGGTCCCTGGGTAGACCTCGGACCCAAGAAAGTCGTTCATCGACTGGATCCCACATTGATCGGTCACCTTTGTCCTTTGTACCGCTACATGGCTGGGTAGAGTCCTTTTTCTCCATATGAAAAATTGTGCCTTCAAGACGCTAGATCGGGTACGTAGAGTGAAAGGATATGTATGTACATTCACTATCAGCTGCTCATGCCAGTATCCGGTTTGGGTGAGTGTTTGAAAGCTTACCAGAAGTGCGATCCGGCATTTGTCTCCGAGAGAAGTGGCGTCCCAGATTGTATCATTGGATTTGGTCAATTCCTTTGGAGCTCGTGTGCGACGAAGTTGAAAGTAGAGGTTTTCCAACTTGGGAACTTTGGAATCGAGTTCGGGATCTTTAATATGGACAAGGAGCTGTTTACAAACCATCATATGGTAAGCAAGTTTCTCGATATCATATTAGTACTGACTCACTCCTTGTTGAAATTTGCTTTTCTCGGTTTTGGCGATATCCTTAACAACCTTTCAGACTGCAGTTTCCGCTATCAGGTCGCTTGAACGAAACCCAGCGGGCAACTCTTCGGCTTTGATACTATCAGTGTGCATGAGGGCCTCCTACATGGATGGTTTTGGTTTGACATCAGCTGCATATGTAGCTCAAATTCGAATGAAAACTCACAATCACCAAATTCTCAAGGGATTCTAGAACCGGAACTGTGCGCATTGAGTTCGCGGCTGAGTAAGACTGGATTGAAGATCTCATAAGGAGGTCTTTAGTCGAATGCCGAATGAAATTCTATATGGATCATGTTAGTATAAAATACTAAACTAACATGATTGACTGTTGAATGACTTACTCGAACGTCCTCGAGAGCTTTCCATTCGGTCACTTTGGTTGGATCTGATTGAGGTACAGTCGGTAACTCTGGTGTAGAGAGGTTCTGTTGATGGGATTGAAATTTTGAGGCCAAGAAGCAAACCAGAGCTATCTGACGTCTCTGTTGGTCAGGTTGCTACATGAACAGATATTGATCAATTTCATAATCTGGTAACCCAAGTCGGAAGATACATACCTGAAAAACTTTGTCCACATCAGATATTACACTCGAAGAGAGTCCAAACTGAGCACCGATTGTGCTAACAATATTTGATAAAGCAAGTGGGTTAATCAAGTCTTGCCCAGAACTGAGTCCTGAAGAGTGAGGTCTTGCTTCAAGACGCATTAAGCTGGGTGTGAATGGTTCGTCTGCCAACATAGTCCGATAATCGGGCTCTTCTTCATGGAAGAGCCCATCCTGGGGGGGTTGTTGCCGGAGGTTAGGCGTTGCTTGCGACCGGCTGTCCATCCCAAAGGCATCGGTTGCTGAGCGGGTCCTGGGAATGATGGATGTGGTTAGCCAATCATAATTGGATCCAATGGGGCTCCTTTGATAACGTTGAGATGCGGAAAACATGGGGGCGCTGTGAGTGAGTCAGGGTGAGTCGCAGGTGGAAACAGGTGGAAAGACACCAGAGAACTTGTCTTTCTGGTGAGAAAGACAAGTTCTCTGACCTCTTTCAACGTCAGACATCTCGAAAGCGCCAATTCAAAGGCTGAGACAGGCTGTCATTGGAATCATTTTTGTCCCCAATTGAAATTTGACTTATAAAATTTTCTTCGTCGTCGCCCAGCTCACCCTCAAAAGTCCGTCTCTTGGAATTGCTTCTTCTTGTTGTTATTGTTTTTTTTAAACAATAACAACAAGCATGGCATGTTTTATTATATGTTTATTTTGGAAATATGAAACAAAATTCATAGCCATTTAAATACAGTGACTATGGATTCTTGATTTCATTAAGTCTACTTTTAAACACTCTTTTAAAATTGTTTGAAAGTAGACCTGATCTGTATCTTAAACTTCAACACCAGTGTCATTTTGTAAAAGCAGTTATGTTATCAATTGCATTGAGAGTTTCTTTCGGTTTAATGAAAACAAAGATATAAACATTTGAAAATGAGCATTGGACATTTGGAAATTTCAGGCGTTTGGAAAGAAAGGATTGTTTGGTTTTGTAACATTGAAAAAAAATAAAGCTTTGAAAATGATCATTGGACATTTGAAAATTTCAGGCATTTGGAAAGAAAGGATTGATTGGTTTTGTAACATTGAAAAAAAGTATTGAGTTCCTTGGTGAGGTTTTCAAACATATTTGATCTGGTATGATTCATCTGAATTTTTTTGAAGAACTTTAGATCCTGAATGGAAATATTATCAGCAAGGGCCTATTCAGGGGTTTTCTTCATAATATCATATCATTTGGGGTTATCTTCCCATTGCTGCAATCCCACATGTATTGCGTGAGTCCACATTTCAGGGGTCACGGGTTGACAATGTATATGGGCCCATTCTCTATGGGCCTGTCCATTGTAGAGTGCACCACTATTGATAATGTAAAGATCTGTGTCCTTGTGCGTATGAGTTTCCAAAGGAGTGCCAGTTTTATGTATTGGAAAAAAAGAGGGGTTCCTTGGTTTTTCGGTCTGGCAGTGAGAGTCATAACAATTATGCTGGACATTCATGGAACACCTCACTTCCTGTTGGTTTGAGAAGGTGAGACATCATATGTGTCAGAGAGTCCTGGTGGGTTTGTGCATTGATAATGATTGAATGTCATGACTTACATCAAAATATACATATACACTATGTGGATGTATTTTAAGTGCACACATGCCATAGAACACATGGCAGTCAGTTGATATGGACCTAAAATCAAGTGAAAGAATCGGACTGGACTGTTGTTGAGTGCCAATTTTTGGTGACCATATTGCTCTTATCCGCCCAATCCATTGAGATGGGTTCATATAAGGAGTCATGACCTGTTCATGATTAAAAAGTTTATGTCATTACAATGACACATTCAAACAGCACAAAGTGTGACTTACACCAACAAAGTCACCAGCTCGAACTTGTTGCCCATTTTTTAGGCCACATGAATGGATGACCTCCAACTGACGCTCATTCAAAGATAAGAACTCTTGAGCTGTTGTGAATTTCTGGTTTGGTTGCAAACCTGGTTGGTAGTGTGTTGGGTTTGAATTCAAAATCTTGCCCCACTGGTTATGCTTGAATCGCAAAGTATTATCAACCACACCCTCATTCTGGAGGACAGCCTCCAAACATGGACCTCCTTGCACCCACTTGCAACTAAGTTCATCCCACATGAAGCCGCCATTAAAACAGTGTCTTAAAACCTCATTATTTTGAAAACTTTCCGCTAGATGTTGGCCAGGGTTGTGACGGTTTGAGTGAATAGATGCTGCGCGGGTTAGAGCGTTTGCACTCTCAAAAGTTTCAGTCATGTAGAGTGCAGGTGGTCCAAACCTCCTAATTGAAGCAGTGAGGTGTGTTAACATATGAAATTTGGGTTTATTGACCCATCGTGCATTTAGTTTGACTATGTTGCAAAGAAAGATGTTGATATGCTTGTCCAGTTCAAAGCAATATGTATCCAGATTTCGGATCTCTGGTTGGTAAATCATGGAAGACATATGAGCCAGGTTGGTCCACACTGTCCTCTCTTCAACGCTGAGCCAATCAAATAGGACAAATGGAGCTCCCTGACACTACAAGAAAGATAATATTTTCTGGGCAGAAAATTAAATTATTGATACACAAAAATATTGAGAGGCCAGGAGGAGAGCAAAAAATGAATAAAAATATGCATCTTGTTCCCTGCGTTGAGAACTTCACTCTGCATATTGTTCCGTATTTTTACAGTCCATATTGATAAGTGTACTAACAATAAACCTTCACAATCATCCAATTACAACCTGTAACAAGCACTGAAATTTGGCTCATTAGTGTTTAGAGAAACTTTTGATTTCTGAAAATACTCATAACTTTTTCAATTCCGTTCCAAAACGCTCGATTTTGGGTGCATTGGTAAGCTGGAATTGTCCTCCAAATAGTTCATAATAGGACCACACAGCATGCTGGTCTGCTAAAAAAGATATCATCTTGTTTATACATTTGTACATACAGATCCATAGAATGATTGTCATACTAGCTACATAGTTCTTGATCTTATGAAAGTTCGAGAGGAAGAGTTCAGCTTTCTATTGCAGTTAAAGTGGAGTGTTTTGAGGCAGATTTGACAAAGTTATAGGTGTTTTCTGAAATCAAAAGTTTCTCTAATCAGTAATGAGTCAAATTTCAGTGCTTGTTACAGGTTGTAATTGGATGATTATGAAGGTTTATTGTTAGTACACTTATCAATACGGACTGTAAAAATATGGAAAAATATGGATAGTGAAGCTCTCACCGCAGGGAACAAGATGCATATTTTTATTTATTTTTTGCCCTTCTCCTGGCCTCTCAATATTTTTGTGTATCAATAATTTAATTTTCTGCCCAGAAAATATTATATTTTGTGTAGTGTGAAGTACAATACGGAATTCTTTCCCAGTCAGAGAAAGGGCACCATGAACCAGTCTGGTGGGCTGCAGTTGCTGTATATTCAGACCTGTGGTATTGAAGACCTTCCACTTTGCCAACAAAGTGGGTAATTGTGTTTTCGGAATCTTTTGAAGCACATCCCGGTATAGATATTTTGTGACTCCAAGCAATATTACATGCAGCACCTCCACTGGTGTGTCTTTGTGCCCATCAAAACCTAAGGAATACATTATTAGACAAGAGTAGCATGGAAAAGTTCCAAGTGCAGCAGTACATACCATCTAATTTTAAAAATGGATTGAAAATTCTGTCACCCAAAGTCTTTTCGCACTCCATGGCAACTCTTTTGGTCTCATTTATATCACGCTGACGTTGAACCTTTCTCATATTCTCAATGAAAGGTTGCATCATTGTGTCTTTCAAACCATATGACTTTTGCAATGCATCCACCTTTGAAGCCATATTGGGTTTGGCTGAATCCTTCCATATCTGCTCAGTTAGCCTCTTTGTCTCACTCCAATTCCGTAAACGCCCGTTAACCTGAGCACACACAGAATATCAGTTATGCCATGTGTGTGGGACCTGAGGGGAATGTGGACTTACCATTTCACCCTGATTGTTTATTCCTACAAACGAACGAATGTACCCTTCTTTTTTTTTTGAGCCTTGGAATCTGCGCCCAGATGACATCCCCTACAGGGGTTTAAACTTGTTCCAGGATTGTTTGTGTTGGAAACCTCAGCATGCATGGGCGAATCCCCCAAATGTGCCAGCTGCACTGCTACAACTAATACGTCCTTTCCAATGCTTGTATCATAAGCAGGAGACCCCTCTCTTGACAGGAAGCTATAACATTTGGGTAAAAGAACTCAGTGTGGAATCAAACCTGTTATATTTGACAATGGGCTTACTTCAACTGTTCTATGATGTTATCACCCATTTCTAGAGCATTTGCTGTTGTTGAAGCAGACAGCCAACGAACATTGTATTCCAGATTAGCCAATTTTGATGGGAGACCCGCAAGTGTAAAATAGTAGCACATATGCCTATTAAATCTTTTCGAATGTGACCCTGAAGTGTCATCACTATAAATGGTTAACGGCATGTGGCGGACCACTTTTCCCTGTGATTTTGTACGCCATGGGTTGGGTAAATGAATGTGAACAAATGAACCATGATCAGACAGCTCTGTCAAACAAAAACAATCAGTGTGTTTCCCAAATACTACACTCAATTACTATGACTTACGGTATAGAACATTTCCATATAAATCCTTTAAGTGATGTCCACCTGGTAGAATAATGTTTTCAAAGCTATTCCTGAAATTTGAGATTTCAACAACCCCCACTTCACTTAAACCCACTTTTTCCTCCTGCTGTATCTCCATCCGCCCTGCTGTTTGCCACCTAGTGACATTATTATTAAGCTTAAGATCTAGGCATTTGGCTACCAATTTGTCTCCAAAGTAGAAGAAGTGAGTTGGTACCACTAATCTTCCGGAGATTAGTTGGACAGGCTCGTAGATATAAAAATGGCCAAATGTAGTGTACACCATTGGGGCCCGCAAATGCGCTGGGAACCCATTAAGCCATTTGTCGGAATGGCAAAATTCTTTGACAACCCCGTCTGTTGATACCTCAGGATAAAAGGTCAAGTTCTGGGCTACATGTGGTTTTGCCAAATCCTAAATTTTGAGACAAAAAATGTCAACCAACAGGTAACACTACTTCTTTTCCTTGTTACTTGGGCCAAACTGACCAGTCTTAAAAGATCCTTTAGGGGCAATGAATAGCAAGCATTGTTTAATGGACTCATGGTTGATACCAATTTCAGCCCCAATTTCTTTTTAATCCGGTTCAGAAGTGCCTTCAGAGTTTTGTAATTGGGAAGTTTGACACCAGCCAAACTTACTGCACTGCGTACTGTCTCGTATTGTGTTCGTGATAGCTGGTTGTGTGGGGTACCATAACACATTGTTCCTATGACATTCTAAGTAAGCAAAAAAATTAACAGCACTATTATAAGTTATTTTAAAGTGGATGAATAATTTGTAATATATGAGTGACATACCTGTAAGGGTACACATGTAGGCAGGAGGCTATGGGTTGGCTTTATGGGATTAGATGGGTTCTTGTTATACTTCTCTCCAACGCCCGGCTTTGGAAAGTCCTCACTCCTCTGAGAGCATCACCTCGGACTTTCTGGAGCTAGGTGAGATTTGTTGTGTTTTCTCTCTCTTTCTCTAGTTCTTTCTATCTTAGAGTGTTACTGACTCCTCTGAGGGCATTACCTCGGACTTTCTGGAGCTAGTTTGAAATCATAACGACGTTCCAAGTCCACCTGTGCTCTTGTGAGAAGTCGTGCCGGACAAGTTTCCGGACTTTCAGTGAAGGTTCTATTGGAACCTTACACTTTTTTTGACTTGATCACCTCGTTATATAATCAAGATTCAAGTTAAACAAAAACCTTAAACATCATTCAATTCAACTATCACATCTTTTTTTTCTCTTTCATTCTGTCACTCTGCACTATCTGCCTTTTGTCACTCGGATTACCAGCCTCGATTTTACTTCTGTCACCTGAACCTTACTCCGACGATCAGAATTCAGTCTCTGCCGCACCTCCGCTGCTTCGAACTAAACGAATGTTAGGCGGAAAATCACTAAAACCTGATAATTTTTGCGACGACCCGGAATCCTTAATCCGATTAGCTCGAAAAGGAAAGCAGCAAGACGAGTCAAGCTCACCACCACCTCCTGCTCCGCCAAGTTACCTGCGAAGACCTGAAGCCTCAGTGTCAGGATCACCAGCGCCAACAGATCAAATCCTGTACGCCTCTAGCCACAAGCTGAGCCCAGCTGTAATCTCGACTGCGCACTTTTCACCGCCAGAAATCTCTCCACCAGAAACGGAGAAGAAAGTGATAGACTTACACTTTCGGAAACTTTTGGGAGCGACACCACACCCACCAGGCCACTTCCCAACGGACACACCCGCACCACATCGATCCAGGGTATCTTTCGCTGAGCCGACACTGACCTGCGAAACCTCAAACACCATGCCTAACGAACAAGACACGGTGGAGTCGCTACGCGAACAAGTTGCAGAACTCAGGCTTCAGAACGAGTCCCTCACAAAGGCAAATCAAGAGACGCTTACCTTACAGCAACTAGTCAAGAACTGTT